CACCACGAAACCAGACCCCCATACATTGTACATTTCATTATTATAATTATCCTTATTGGAAATGCCCTCTCTAATTAAAACCTGGTCACAAGATTCAGAACTTTTCTGCAGAAAGCCTATTTTGACAATTAATTAATTCTGGCAAAAGCTCAAAATTGTTGCCATATTGTAGTGGCATAAATGCAGAAGGACTGACGTGTTACTAGATAAAAACTAAGAAAAAGGTTTGGAAGCATTTCCCCAGCAATCAATTTCCATTTTTTTATTTCCTACTGCAAGTCATAAAATTAAGCCAAATGGGTGATTAGTTGCCATATATTATGCAGCTAGCTATATGAGCGCACCCAAAGTTTTTATTTCAGCATAAAAAATAATGGAAAAAGGCTGAAAGAAGACAAAAGGCCCTTTAATCCATCCTTAACTAGACATTTGAAGTAAGGGTTGCAGTTTACTTCAGACTTCATTACATTTTGAGTCATTTTCATACTTGCTGGTCCATGGTTCACCAGCTAGAGGAAACATGAACCAAGATATAATTACACCATGTTCCAATTTAGAATAAAAAATATAAAGCAAACTGAAAAGAAAGTCTGAAAAAAGAAAAAAAAACCTGTAAGCTAGCTGTAAGTTAGCATCAGTACCCCCTGCCGCTCTACAGATATCACATGTACATAAAGTAAAAATGTGGCCAAAGGAGTCACAGATATAAATACTAACTTCACAAATTCCCCACTATATCCAAAAGTAAAAGAAAAGTGTTGATTTAGGCTTTATGTAAAAGACTTTCATGTGTTAAAAATGCTAAGAGATTTAAAGTTGATATGCTATATACTTTAGCAAACCATAGACGGCTCAACTTTCCGCTGATTCCTGCTAAATTCAACAAAATTCAAGATGTGGATGTCCCTGTCAGCACCACCCAGCTCGACCAAAGTCGATTTAAAAACTGCCTGAGCCAGTTGGAAATGTTTCACCCAAACAGTGATTTTATTATATCAGATGTAAATGCTATAGCCAGCAGTGCAGATTCCCCCATCCACACTGTTTCATGTGGATGGAGGAATCGATTCATTTGTCTCTTGCTCAGCCCCCTGGCTTAGTGTATATGACACGCCTTAAAAGTTAACTAAAGCCAAACTTTTTTTTTTTGCTTTAGTCCTCTTTTGGGTCACAGGAGTACATTTACTAATGTACTCCTGTGACCCAAAGTCAGCTTCTAGTGGGCTACTTCCCCCTATTTGCTGACAGTGCATTTACTAATGTACTCCTGTGACCCAAAGTCAGCTTCTAGTGGGCTACTTCCCCCTATTTGCTGACAGTGCATTTACTAATGTACTCCTGTGACCCAAAGTCAGCTTCTAGTGGGCTACTTCCCCCTATTTGCTGACAGTGCATTTACTAATGTACTCCTGTGACCCAAAGTCAGCTTCTAGTGGGCTACTTCCCCCTATTTGCTGACAGTGCATTTACTAATGTACTCCTGTGACCCAAAGTCAGCTTCTAGTGGGCTACTTCCCCCTATTTGCTGACAGTGCATTTACTAATGTACTCCTGTGACCCAAAGTCAGCTTCTAGTGGGCTACTTCCCCCTATTTGCTGACAGTGCATTTACTAATGTACTCCTGTGACCCAAAGTCAGCTTCTAGTGGGCTACTTCCCCCTATTTGCTGACAGTGCATTTACTAATGTACTCCTGTGACCAAAAGACAGCTTCTAGTGGGCAGGCGGGAAAGATCCAGACAATATTTTCGGGATTCACCTGGCTGCCTGATTGACAGCTGACTGGCTCTCTAAAGCCAGAGCCGGCTGTGCCTGCCCCACTCTCTGCAGGGAGAAGACCGTGAGCTGAGCGATCAGCAGTTTATGATCGCTCAGCTCTTGATCTATAGAGCCGGCATGTGACAGCTGCAGTGTCACACGCCAGCTCTAAGTATTGGGAAGAGTACATTTTACTCTCCCAATACTTCTCCTTTAAAATCCAAAGCTTGGACTTCTAGCAAAGCTCACTAAATACAATTTAATGTGGTAAAACAGTTATGAAAAACAATGCATATTGATCATATCATTCTTGATGAAATCTTTATCACATCATATCATATCGTAACTCTAGGAATTTTTTTTTCTTAACCCTTGCAGTCGGGCCTTAACCCTTCACTGCAAGGGTTAAGTGCTCGTTTGTGCCTAGGTGCTAAAATAACAGCAGCATTGAAATCTTTCTCCACGTCCTCATGTTTATACATGGTATATGGACTTTGATGATTTACGGGACTTTAGACCACTCCAGAGGATGGGGAGAGACCTTGGAAGGACCGATCTAAGAAGAAGCCGGCTCAGAGCTTCATGTGAGTCTAACTTTTTTTTTTAACCTAGACACAAACAAGCACTTAACCCTTAGTGCATACTGCTATATTCTAGAGTTCCATTGTCAAGAAAACAATATAACCTGTAAGAGTTGTACAACACTTCATTGATGAAAAAAAAATATTTGCCTAAAACAATAAAAAGGTATTTATCTATTAAAGGGTTCTTTGGTAGAAATAACTGACATACTGTATCCTCTGAATGCAATGGTGACATGATAGTAATTATTTTTAGAATAATGAATGACCTCTGCACTCCAGCACAGCTTCATTTAATGCAACATTGACTGACAAACTTGTCGCTCTTGAAAGAGATCCTTCAAGTCCAGTGCTCTCATGTAAGAAAGCGTTGAAATGTTCTAGGTATTGTTATAGTCCCGTCTTTTATGTACTTTGATCATTCGCACATGAACGCTGAAGTCTGATTATTGAAGTAGAAGTGGAAAACATTTAGGCTGCACTCACCCAACAGATTTTTTTTTTTTTCAATGTAAGGGTTGAAAAAAAGCAAGCTTTATTCAGACAATAGATGGCTTGTTCATACCAGAACACACTACTGTTCTGTTTCTGTATTTGACAAAGTGCATGTCAATGCAGAAAAAAATGCAGCATGCAGAACGTTTTTTCCAAAGCACAACAATGCAAATAATTGGTATAATGCAAAAGTGTCCTACATTCCAACAATGGATTTTTGATTTCCATGCATTTTTTACTTGTGCCTAAAAATGCAGAAAAATGAATGGCAGCAAATATGAAGAGCCCAAGCTATGATCACTATATAATGGATATGGGTAGCAATATGCTTATCAGAAACAATTGTCCATGGCACCCTAAGTTATACCTGCAGCCACTAAGCAGAACACAGATGCACAGACTGGCAGACTGGAGGATGTTTTTTTTTTCCTTTTATAACTAACTGCAGGCTACATTGATCCCTGACACAAGGCTTTAATTTATTTCTTTGAGGTAGAAGGAGAAAGTTCAATAAGAGAGGTTGTGAGGCAGGTTTGTGCAGATCTAACAGCCTAGGGTTCCTTTCACATGGGCGCCCTCTGCTCTCTCAGCATGGGATCGTAGACTGATCAGAATGGAAAAGGATGTTTCATATGTGATATTCATGCATTTTCCATTTCTTTCCTCCATCTTGTGATGGAGGAAAAACAGACCCATGCAAACACCTATGTCTGTCTACATCGGCCCACTTCCAGGCAGGTCCTCAAAAGCAGAACTGGACTCAAACTTATTGTGTTGGTTCTAACGAACCTGAATGGACCGGTGTTAAGGACTCGGACATCAATGATGAAAATGAATGCACATCCGCTTACATCTGGCCACCCATAGGAACACTGCAGTCCATTTTTGTTCTATCTAATGATGGGTCAAGCACGGATTGACAGAATGTCTGTCTGAAAGGAGCCCTATGGAATTTACTGCGGTGGAAAATCTATTAGTTTAGTTGCCTTCCTGGCAAATCTCATCTGTAAATTGCAAAATCTTGTGAGATCTCTGAGAAAAGCATTGTTTTACCCTCAAAGGATGTGAACTGTCACATTTTCCATATGTCAGATCCCGTGTTCCAGGTAGCTAAAGGAGATGGATTCTTCTGTCGATCGTGAAAATGGCCACCGTGAAAAGAATGAATAGGAAACAGAAAAAAAGGTATGCAAAGTATAAAAAGTCCGTAATTATCTATTAATGCTTGTTGATTGCATTACTAAATATTTCTAAAGATGCCTTCCAAATTATTTTTAAGGTAAGGGTTACGATATGTGCACCAAAATCTCATATAC